AAAAAAAAAAGAAAATATTAATTTCACAACAATGTGAAGCAAATGGAACTCTCATACTCTTTCAGTGCACATAAAAATTGCTATAAACCCTCTTTGAAAACTACTTGTCGGTATTTAAGAATGAGCTTCTGTCTACCCATTACCGCACTCCTTCAAGTGGCTGTGTGTTTCTGGCCCAGCCTTTTCAAGGCCTCTTTCACATCCTTGTTCCGTAGAGTGTAGATGAGGGGGTTGAGCATGGGGATGACCAGCGTGTAGAAGATGGAGACTACCTTTCCCTGTTCCATGGACTCTACAGCCCCTGGCTGGGCGTACATCACGAAGATGGTCCCGTAGAACAGGGAGACAGCAATCATGTGAGAGCCACAGGTGGAGAAGACTTTGTGTCTCCTGGCCCCTGAGTGCATCCTTAGGGTGGTCACTGTGATATAGCTATAGGAGACGAGGACAACGAGGATGGTGCCCATGATGATCAGCCCGCTGATGCTGAACATGACCAGTTCATTGAAGGCTGTGTTGGCACAGGCGATCTGTAGCAGAGGTGGCACATCGCAGAAGAAGTGGTTGATGTGGTGGGAACTGCAGAATGGGAGGCGGAAGTTGAGGCTGGTCTGTATGGTGGAGTTGAGGCAGCCTCCACAGTAGGTGCCCAGCACTAGCCGGGTGCAGGCTGAGGGGCATATGGTGACCGGATAGCGCAAGGGGTTACAGATGGCCATGAAGCGGTCATAGGCCATAACAGCCAGGAGGAAGCCCTCGGTGGTGACCAGCAGGGAGAATAAGAAGAACTGGGTGGCACAGCCAGCGAAGGTGATGACCTTGGTGAGGGAGAAGAAGTTGGCTAGAGCCTTGGGGGTGATGACAGAGGAGTAGCAGAGGTCCAGGAACGAGAGGTTCTTGAGGAAGAAGTACATGGGGGAGTGGAGGCGGGCATCCACTGTAATAACCACAATCATTGTGAGGTTTCCCAGCACAGTCACCACGTACAGGGCCAGGAACAAAACAAAGAGCAGGGCCTGGGTCTCCAGCCCACCCTCAAATCCCACTAGCACAAACTCCTGCAAAGAGAACCCAGAGAGGTTCCCAACTCCATGGGTTGGCATGGCCCCAGAGTAAGGATGAGATGGGGAGAGATGGGCCAGGGAGAGGGAGTAGGTCACTGTTCACTGTCGCATGTCCCCCTGGAGCACAGGGACTGTTGATCATACATTTTCTGCTGACCAAGAGAAGACAGCCTCCCGGTTCTCACGCCAGGTGAGCTTGACCTACAAGGGTGACATTTCATCTTACTCAGTAAATTCATCAATATGTATCAAGCAATCACCCTGTGTGAGTCTGAGATGCTGCTATGGACGGATGGATGATGGATGGATGGATGGATGGATGGATGGATGGATGGATGGATGGATGGATGGATGGATGACTGATGGATGGATGAGTGCAGAGAAGCCTGTCGGAGCTAAATAGCCTCCGTGTTGGACAGCATGTCAGCCCCCACTCCCTGTAAGTCCTTGCTCTCCCCTGCCATGACCCTGTGCCCTCCTAGGTGCTTGTCTCACCCTGCCTGCATATCTACCCTGTTCTTCCTGCCTTATTCACGAATTCATCAACTCAGTGATGTTAACTGAGTGCAGATGGTAACTTAGTATTTTCAGCTCCAAGCTGGAGGCTGAACAGGGACTAGCTCTCACCAGGCTACCCTGAGTGTTAAGGTCTGTCTGTCTCCTCTGCTGGACTCTGCCCACCTTGACATCCCTGACCCATTGCTCTTGAGTTGATTCGGACTCATAGCAACCCTATAGGACAGAGTAGAACTGCTCCATAGAGT